TCTCCTTTCGTTGTATAGAAGTTGTTTGACTTTGGCTTCGCAACTTGGTAATATTAGCAGTAAGACCTAGAGGAATGCACCATGTCGGGAGTCCATTGTACGCATAATCATTTCCAAAGTCGGACTGTGGACGTGGTACATTCCCAGACGTTTCTTATTTTGTCTACACGTAACTATGCCTTTGAAATCATTGAAACTGATTAAAAACTTTTAACTCACCATACTGAAAGCAAACTATTTGCATCAGTCGTCTGTTAAAGCATTCTCCAAAACTCTTCCATCCTAGGTCGCTTCACAAGGGGGAGTGAAATTGTGGTAGTGCACTATACATATTCGACATGTTACGGCCACACTACCCTGTCGCGGGTGATAGTGAGTCGGAGGGCTAGCCAGGCCTTTTACGTATGGGATTTTAAGTGGGATTGTCTACACAGGAAACTTGTATTTGCGAATGCAATCTACTACATTACTTATAGTTAGAATGATCTTGAATACTAGCCATATTCATCTTAGGCCAGATTGGGTCATATTACTCTTTCTGATATTGGCCTACCTTTCATTTCGTTTAAAGAGACACAAGGTTATTCTACTTTTATGAATCCTAACTAAGAATTTCTTGCGTTTACCGTTTCTAATAAGGTGAAAGCTACAACAGCAATAAGTTATCGAGAGATTATCCGAAACCCAGCTTGTCCTTATTTCGTATGAACAAATTTTCAAGTTTCTTTGATTAATATGTAACTCTTGAAACTGGGAAGACCCACATTTATAGAAATATGTTACAAAATGACAATGTTGAATCAAAAAAACTAAGCAGTTGATTATCATTCACTAATTATTGTAGGCATTTTACTTCAAATTTAAAATGACATTACATTGCAATTAAAAATTGTTATTGCTCCAGTTTGGAATTAATTTTCCTTGTAGCATGTGGATGAATGTAAGACTAGCTGAATGCAATTACTTATATATACTCTTTTCAGATCTTATTATACTTATGTACAAGCGATTCTGAGTAAAATTTACCTTTCATTTAAGACACTTAGCTTTTGTCGAACTCTCTATTTTTATTATTCAGGCTTGGGAGGAAGATAAGAAACTCAATAAGGAAAGAATAGCGCAAGTGGAAATGCGAGCCGCTGAAGCAGAAATATATCGGGAAGAATTCAACAGGCTCCTGGCCGAACTCGATGCCTCCAAAGTAAAATCTGACTCCGGTAAGATAACTTTTATCATGCATTACGTTAATACTAGGCTCAGAATATTTCATTACATATTATTACATATTACATAATATTACACTAGATTATATTATTACAATTTAAGACAAGGTATTGATTATGAGCCGCTTCTGCTACTACAATAGCACTTTCTAGCACCTCATTTTGGACGTCAGTACATGGGATTTGCCATTTCATGCTGAAAAATAATTCTGTAATAAAAAAAAATGCGCACACTTCATTTTGCTTAATATAATCAACCTTGATTGAATTAATTGTTACGTTCTTTTATTTTTTGCGAAGACACTACTATACATTATGTGGCTACCTTTTTCAGATGCTGAAGAGGACGTGATAGACAAAATGAAGCATTTTTTGGGGGAGAAATCACGTCAGTTGGTGCTTCTTCGTGTAAATGAGGCCGCCCTGGTGCGTAGATACACTGCGGCACAGGAACGAGAGTCAGCTCTCACAAAGGTGGGTTATCAAGTGGGAATGCTGCTAGTGAACATGATGGTTTTTATTTTTGTTGCATTAAAGAGAGTGAAGAAACTGGAGTGGTACACGTTGCCTAACGATCCAATATCGAATCCCGTCAAGTTTATTGATGAGACCTATACGAGGTGGAAACTGAGGCTTTTATGAAGCAAGGTTGAATGAAGTTCTATTTAAACATAATTCATATTCATCTAACTGTGGTAAATACTCAAATATAAGCCCTTAGATAAACTTAAGTTTCTATTCAATAAACAGAATTCTATTCTCATTCTCGTAACCCCTCCTCTACACTATACAAAACTTAGTATCACCATTACAGTTATTATTTTAGGCATTCACTTAGCTGAAAAAGCGAGCGAATTCTTCTCATATGAAGAAAAGTTGGGTTTCGAAGAATTCCTTAATGAAATGTTGTGGCCTGACTCTCCATTTCGAAGGGAAAGTTGGTTGGAAGGAATTCGTGATGTAGTGTCACCGGAAACCGAAGGAGAATTGTCGCGTAAGGAAGACTGTTGATTTGCGCAAAAAGTCCTCGGCTCACCGTCCTGCGACCCGATGAAACTGTGATAAGCTTTCGTCTGTACCGCCGTGACAGACATCATCAGAACAAGATTCCATACTTTACGAAATAGAGCAAAAATATACTAAACCAAGAGGAGAAAGTGGCCGGCTGCAACCCTAGTCGCTTTTTTATACAACTATCATCGCGATCTTAATGAGGCTTTCCCTGATGTGGTTTACTAGTTCAACCTTCATATTACTTTAACGTTATTTTTCGTATATAAGTAGAGTGTATACATCTCATATAAGTGATTTACCAGTAGTCTCCAAATTCTACTTATATGCGAAAAATAAGTAATGTAGTCGATTGTTATAGCAAAA